GGCGAGGTGATCCAAGCCGCGCTGCTCGCTGCGGGATCCGACCTGGCGGCCAGATGGCGGCCTCCACGCTGTTATGGTGCTGTTATGGCCGGATAACGGCCCTGGCGATGGTGTGGCTAGGCGGTGGTCTCGGCGGTCTCAGCGGTGCCCGCAGTGCCAGCCAGGTAGTGAAAGCAGCCAGGGTAAGGTCACCAATTGGTGTTGAGATTGGCGATTTTTTTTAGGACGAGGAAGGCCGACCGCGGTTTAATGGCGGTTTAATGGCGGCCTTCCCTTTATTCCTCCTCACCGCCTTCTTTGCCTTCTTTACGCCCTCCTGGCTCTCTCTCCGGGCTCCTCGTCCTTCTGCCGGAAGCCTGAGGTCCAGGGTCTCTCTCCCCTCAATTTAGAGATGGTCGAAGAGGGGGGAACCCAGGATTCCTTCGGATTTGGTTTCTGTTGATCATCAGTAGGGAAAAGACAGAAATCCCTATTATCTGATGAGAATTTTCAAGTCATGAGTACAAAACCACTCTTTATTAAGAGTGGGAATCCAGTCATGATACAATTTTGAGTAGATGCAAGATTCAGGAAAGAGAATTGAGTACCATATGAAAGTTTATATAAATTAGATTAAAATGTACTTTACCTTGTTTGTTCCATTTCCATATTTAGCTCTGTCTGACATTTATGTATAGCTTGCTTGACAGATGTGAGTTTCAGTCACTTCTCTTCTTCTTCCAGTACTTGTTCAGTAGAACTGAGCATATTTTTGTATTTTTATTTTGGTTACACTTGAAACCATGAGAACATACTGTAATCTTTTTTTCAGTCTTACAATAAGTCAAACCCACCTGCTTAAGGAGCTCCATTTGCTGCTGTTCATATTCTGGTCCCAATTCAAGTTGCAGGTTCTTACCTACAAAGCCCTGAACGCTTTGGGACCCGCCTACCTATGTGACCGCATTTCTGTTTATGAACCCACGAGATCTCTCTGATCATCTGGAGAGTCCCTGCTCTCACTCCCGCCCCCATCACAGGTACGATTGGTGGGGACGAGAGAGAGGGCCTTCTCTATGGTGGCCCCCTGACTCTGGAACTCACTCCCCAAGGATATCAGACAAGCTCCCATATTGGCTGTTCCAGTGTGCCTTCCCTGAATTAGTCAGCCCTGTTCTGACTAATTCCCTGCAAAATGTCCTCAGAAGCACTTTATCTACCCTTTGGTTGATCTCCCTATATTACCCTTTAAAAAAACCCTGCTTAGATATATTCTACCTCTGCTCACGCCCAGTGTTGTTTTTAAAATTTTAATTTATTACATCTGACCCGGCCATAGCGTTTTAAATTTTTGTGTGTTACTGCTTATATCTGGTTGTACTGGTCCATTTAGTTAGGAGCTCTGGCGTGGGCTGGTCCCTGAGGTCACGAAGAGTCGGAGACGATTGAACGAATGAACAAAAACAACTGCTTATATCTTAGTTATATTATTTGTACTCTTTTATTTGCTTCCTGCTTTGTTGTTTTACTGATGTGTTGTTGGGCTTGGCCTCATGTAAGCCACCCCGAATCCCCTTGGGGAGATGGTGGCAAGGTATAAATAAAGTTATTATTATTATTATTATTATTATTATTATTATTTTACTGACACAAAAGCACAGTATGTCGCAGCAAACGAGATCTATATGCTGGATTTCATATCACAAAATCACAAGTCGAACACTTCCCAAGCGTCTAGGACTGTGTGATGTATTTTCGAATGATGTGCGCAGATCCAAGTAAGGTGGCCTTCTGCAGTTGACAGATCATGATTTTGTCAATGTTTATTGTTTCCAAATGCCGGCTGAGATCTTTTGGCATGGCACCCAGTGCGCCAATGACCACTGTACTGGTTTATGCCAGAGTCTTTGCAGTTCGATTTTGAGGTCATGATAGCAGCTGAGTCTTTCCTGTTGTTTTTCCTCAATGCGACTGGAATGGCGACATCAATAATCCAGACTTTTTTCTTTTCCACAATCATGATGTCTGGTGTATTGTGTTCCAAAACTTTGTCCGTCTGGATTCGAAAGTCCCACAGTATTTTTGCATGTTCATTTTCCATGACCTTTGTGGGTTTATGATCTCACCAATTCTTTGCTGCTGGTAGGTGATACTTGTGACATAAGTTCCAGTGAATCATCATTATCATCATCATCATCATCATCATCATCACAATAACCTCTAAAATTCTTAGAATTGTTACAGGGCTCAGGCCTTGCCACGCCTAACCCCTTCAAAAACCAATGATGGGGAAACTCTACCTCTAGTATATTTGCTTACTCCTATTCAAGGTTCGACACTCGGTTCTTTTATTCTCATCTCATACTGTCATGCAAACCAGTGGAAGTATTCCACCTTTGGTTTACTTACCAAACAAGTACAGGTGTTTGCAGTAAACTGATGGGTGTTTCTTCATGCTTCACAACTTTCTTGTTCAATTATGAATGCTGAATTTGGTGTCCAGACAGTTATAAAATGATTTCTGTTTAAAATAATGCTTTTGGAAAAAACATACAGGATGATCTCAGCTTACCATGGCTCCAAAATCAAAATGACGTACTGTTAGCTGAAAATTACAACTCACTTGAGAGCGTCAGGCTGCTGAGTATCATTTTGTAAGAGAATTAAGCTCAGCAGTGTGGCGAGTGCTTCATCATCCAATAATTCATAGCTCTCTGAATCTCAAAAGCTAACAGTCTTGCAGCTTGAAGCAAGCAGCTGGCATGGAAATACAGTTTGTGATGTGACAAAAATACTGATTACTAAATAGTGCTATACATATTTTCACAAATACATGGATAAGTCCAACGGTAAATGTGCACTGCATAGATATTCTATTCATATGTGTTGCTTTGGCATCTTATCTACATATGAATAGAATATCTATCATATGTTACAGAGAAAGTCCATGAAGCTGTGATGCAATGCATATTCACGCCTGCTTATTGGCACTTCATACCTCTTACGTTCTATAACCAATGTTTGGCACTGCGTTAATCTTAAATCTATCCAGATCAAAATTTGGATTGGAAAGTGGAACAATTACTATAATGGACCTGAACCTGCCACATTCAGGAATGGTGGTAGATTCAGGTCAAATAGCATGCTCACTCTAAACTATCACTAGCATGGTCACTCTGAACCAGGGGTCCTCAAACTATGGCCCAGGGGCTGGATATGGCCCTCCAAGGTCATTTACCCGGCCCTCGCTCAGGATCAACCTAAGTCTGAAACGACTTGAAAGCACACAATAATAATAACAACAATAATTCTATCTATGAATGCAGCATAGAGAGAAGATGTTCTCTGGGAGGTATATTTTTCTATAAGATGATGTAAAACTATGCACTGGTCAATGGTGGACCGACCTTCCCTGAAACCGGCTTGCTCCTCCGCAAATATGTTTTCTTGTTCCATCCAGTCCAACAATTTCCAATACAGATGCCTTGTGTATATTTTACTAATGGTATTAAGGAGGCTAATGGGCCTGTAGTTTGCTGGATCGTCCTGCCTCCCTTTTCTTTTGTATATTGGTACAATAATTGCCAACCCCCAATCCTTAGGAATTTGGCCATATTTATCAATACAGGTAAATAAAGATGCTAGGATAGGGGCCCAGAAATCCAAATTATTCTTGATGGCCTCGGGCGGGATCACATCCTCTCCTGGTGCCTTTCCCGCTTTTAGTTGGGCTACTAGTCTCTCTATTTCTGCGGTGGTCACAGGTGGCCAGGTAGGGAGGTTTTCCATTGATCTATTAGAACAAGAGTTTGTGCCTGCGTTGTCTGAATAGGTGTCCCTGTATAGCTCTTGGAAATATACTTCCCAACTTGCTGGCAGGATTTGGGAGTCAACTGCAGTTCGGTCCCAGCTTTGTATGTTAGATGTAATGCGCCAGAAGGTGGTTGTGTCCTTTGCCTTAACAGCTTGTATGAGCCGATCCCAATTGTTTTTCATAGCCTCTCTCTTCTTACGGGTTAGTAGTTGTTTGTATTGTCTCTTTTGCAGTATTGTCTCTTTTGCAATCCTATCTCATCACCCAAAAGCAGGCCCATACTTCCCATTGAAATACTAATAAGTTTATACATGTTAAAATTGTACTTCATTTTAATTATTGTATTGTTTGTAAGTGTGCATAGGAATTCATTCATGCTTTTTTCAAATTATAATCCAGCCCTCCAACAGTTTGAGGGACTATGACCTGGCCCTCTGCTTAAAAGATTTGTGGATCCCTGCTCTAAACTATCACTAGCTCATGTCTTTCATGCCATTGTATTGTCATTCAGGGGAAGAGGTCAACTGTGTTATTTACTCTTTGCTGCCCTGGAGGTAACAGCTTTCACATCATGAGGAGATGTCATCTCAGTGGTAAAGAGGACTGTCACCATACAAATGATATTAAACAAGATTCTATCTTTAAAATCTTCTTACATCTGACCCTTCCAAAAAGGCTTCAGTGTTACATAATATTCAAGCGCAAAATAAATGATCTTCAAACGAGGTCATTTTGCCCCCAGTCCACATACTTATTTTTAGACACCCCACACTGTGCCATAAAAATCCAGAAGCAAGGTTTCCAATCTGTATCCCGGATTGGGGGGGGGGGGGGGGTGTTCAGAAAAAAAGGATTTTTAAAAAGTTGCAGAAGATCAAAAGGCATGAGAGAATACTCCAGCTGTAGAATTGTCTCCGTTGTATGGAGAAAATGACACTGAGCAGGCATGATTAGGTTCTGCAAGCACATCACTTATGTCATTACGTCATACTGGTTTGTTGTTTTGTTCTTTTCATGAGACTCAGTGAGGATTCTGGAAATCTATCTAGATTTCATAGGTCTTCTCTCCAGGTTAGATATGCTTTAGTCTTCCAATATTATGTGCCAGTCTTTAGCTAAGGGATTACTTTGCCAACACGCACTGTTGCTTTTGAATATAAATGTAAAATGACAAGAACAGAAAAAACCAAAGTGGCTGGAGAAAACATTTTTAAGAGTAGGCTTTAATAGGTGATATGTACAAAACAGATGGGGTTTCATTCTAAAAGTAACTGGTCAGAATCAAGGAATTAAAGAAAAGCATCCCCTTGGTTTGTTTTTATGTTTACTGTACTGCATTTGCTCTTCCATTCTCTTCTAAATGGTGGCCTTAGGACCAAGCTGTTTTGGCAGACAAATGCAAAAGGCTCCCACAGCGAGGAAGTGAAAAGACTGGGCATACAAACAAGGCTATTGCCATATTCAAAGCACAGGGGATACTTCAACATAACACAAAATACAGTCCTAAATAAAATACGTTTCAGGCAATTTCAGTGTTAAGATAACATCATTAAGAGCAGAACAGATTGTGCTCAGTCCCTGCTGTTTATAATTAACACATTTTTTTCTGAATACTCCAGGGTCTCGAGTAAAGAGTCCTCTGCTCAGATCTATCCAGACCAACTAGAGTGTTTTTATCAAGTCCCATGCTGAGTCCGCACCTGTTTTGGACAAATCCAATGGAGCCCAAAGTCTCTTCTCCTCTGATGGCTGAAGAAGTTAAATCAGATGCATCTTGCCTTCATTGGCATAAGGCTCCATATGGTCTTCACAAAAAGTCATATAAGTATTTTATTATGTCAAAGTTCACAGTCCTATAAACAACAATACAGTATGTAAGTATCTCATAACCTCTGAGGATGACTGTTATAGATGTGGATGAAAAGTTTGGGACATGGTCATACGGCCTAAGAAAACTCACAGCAACACAGTCATTCTGGTCATGAAAGCCTTCGACAACACAATTTTGTTAGTTTTGGTCCAGCTCTCCAATCTGTCAAGGTCATTTTGATTTTAATATATTTTCTACCCCTCGTAATTTTGTGCCACCTGTAAATATGATAAGCATGCCCTCTAGTTCCAACAGACCTCACTACGTCTGAGGATGCCTGCCATAGATGCAGGTGAAACGTCAGGAGAGAATGCCTCTAGACCATGGCCATACAGCCCGAAAAAACCTACAACAACTTAGCATGCCCTGTATTTCATCATCCAAATAACATATAAAGATGTTGAACAACTCTGGAGACAAAACAGAACCCTGTAGCACTGCATTAGTTACTTTCAGGATGAAGAAGCCCCGATGAACATTTTTTGGTTTTAGTTCACTGATCAGTTACCAATTCACTTAACAATAGCCCTGTATAGCCCATATTTTACTAGTTTGTCTGTGAGGATACCACAGGGAACCTTGTCAAAATCTTCTGAAAGATATATTACATGAATAGTGTTCCCCTGATCTACAAAACTTGTATTACATCAAAAAAATTAGTTTTGAATTATTTGCTCAGGACCTCTTCTCCCCCGCTGATTAGTTTCGAAGATGGTGAAAATATCTAAATTCCTCCAGTCTGCTTTTTAAAGATGCAGTTAATATTTGCCCTCCTCAAGTTTCTTGTTCTCTAAGAATTGTTTAGGATTATTGACAGAGTTTGCATTGCAAGTTCCATGCAGTTCTTCTGGTCTCGGAAACTTTAATTCACTGAGAATGGTTAAGTATTCCTGTACTACCTATTTAGTTCTTCTGACCGGCAAGCTCCTAATTACATAATCTGTTCTATTTTCACCAGGTGGCAGTGATATACTGGTTTGATTTTGGAAGAGGATTGAGGCAAAAAAGGCTTGAGAAGTTCAGCATTCTCTCTGTGCTGATTGCATTTTTTCCATTTTCTCCATGCAGTTGCCATACTATTCCCTTATTCTTCCTCTTGATCCAGACGTAGTAAATAAACCCCTTTTGTTACTTTTTATGTCTACTGCAAGCCTGAGTTAATTGTGAGTGTAGGTTTTCCTGACTTTCTCCCTACAAGTGCTCTCTTAGTGAAAATGTAACTGATCTTGTTGATATTGCTCAACCTTATCATAAAGTAACAAGAGAAAAAGTTAAACTATTCAGTTTTTGGTACATCTGAGCCACCACTTTGAGCACCCAGATCATGGATGATGGTGGGATAGAAGAATATTTCCTACTACCACACCAATACCCTAGTTGCGCAGAAGAAGTGGACCTGAATTTTGTCTACACAGGTTTTGAAAGTCTTAAATGTTTGTCCATTAGATTTAAGCTGTGAAAAAAAATTAGCTCAAGAATCAAAAGATATTTTTAAAGAGTTTTTTAAAGGTTATGGAGCTCTGGTTAATAAATTAGAGTTATATAACTTTCTGCTATATCACTGTGATATAGCAGAATAATCTACTTCAGGGGTCCTCAAACTTTTTAAACAGAGGGCCAGGCCACAGTCCCTCAAACTGTTGGAGGGCCGGATTATAATTTGACAAAAACATGAATGAATTCCTATGGACACTGCACATATCTTATTTGTAGTGCAAAAAACACTTTAAAACAATACAATAATTAAAATGAAGAACAATTTTAACAAATATAAACTTATTAGTATTTCAATTGGAAGTGTGGGCCTGCTTTTGGCTTTTTTTTTTTTTGTCGTGTCAGGAGCGACTTGAGAAACTGCAAGTCGCTTCTGGTGTGAGAGAATTGGCCGTCTGCAAGGACGTTGCCCAGGGGATGCCCGGATGATTTGATGTATTTATCATCCTTATGGGAGGCTTCTCTCATGTCCCCGTATGAAGAGCTGGAGCTGATAGAGGGAGCTCATCCGCCTCTCCTCGGATTCGAACCTGCGACCTGTCTGTCTTCAGTCCTGCCGGCACAGGGGTTTAACCCATTGCGCCACCGGGGGCTCCATGCTTTTGGCTGATGAGATAGGATTGTTGTTGTTGTTGTTGTTGTTGTTGTTGTGTGCTTTCAAATCGTTTTAGACTTAAATTGACCCTGAGCGAGGGCCGGGTAAATGACCTTTGAGGCCCGTATCCTGCCCTCGGGCCTTAGTTTGAGGACTCCTGACCTACTTAGATCCAATCTTTGAAATATCAGATATATCTCAATATGTATACACAACTATTTTAAAAAAATGTGGAAAAAATCCAGAAAAGGAGAGGGTTTCTTAAGCTTAGTGAACATGGTAAACCATTTGGAGATGTAATACAGCAATCTTGTCTGCTGTTGAACATTCAGTTCTTCTTCTAAAGAATCTGTTTCAGTATTATATATGATGCAACTCCATCTAATTTACAGTCTGTATTATTTCTTTCTTTACTCATGTTTTAACTAAACGGGGACACTCCAAAAGGACAGAACATTTCAATCTATTTGGTGCTTTGTGAGAATGAAAGATACCCTCTATGGGAGTGAAACTTTCCCCATTTTCTAAAAGTTTTGATGAACAGCATTCCAATTTTGTAGTCTTTTTATACAGTGACCAAAGTTACAAGTGGAGATTTTTTAAAAAGTAGGTAATGTTACAAAAAAGTGCAAAAAAAGATGTAATGCTAAAGACTAACTAGCTCTCTTATTGGTCAAGTCACTCATTTTTGAGTCATATAATTTCCTAAATCCATGTTTTTGCTAAACTTTAAGGAAATACTATGATACAGAAAACATGACATTCTTTAGCTCCAGAATTGTACATGATACTGATGAGGTCTATTTAATTAGCACATTGTAAACTTTAAAGATATATGGTGTGCTATGGTTGCTTTCATGTTAGACGTTGATGTAAAACAGTGTTCTCTGGCAAATGTTAAGTTTCCTAGATAAAATACCACAATCAATTGTTTAACCTAACGATAACCAGTAAAGACCTTGTGTGTAGTTCTGTCCAATTAACTGATATCCTGATCCTAGACATTTGTGTTGGTGAAGGAAAAAAAATTAAGAAGGAAGTAGCTGAATCAGCACGTAGACAAAACTAAGCCTAACAGCCACAGCAGTTTTATTTTTTAAATAGCAGCTAATACGATTGTTCTATGAAATCAGAAAAAAATGATAAAAGTAACCCAGAGATTCAAGAACTTCATAAAATAACAGAATAATTAAACTTTCCTATTTATATCAGCAAAGAGGCAGCTGCAAATAGAATCTGCACAGAGCAATGTCCCTTTGTCATAAATCAGTAGCTAAAACATCCCTAATAAAGGATTTAGGCTAAGAATGTCACATTATTAGTGTTAGTGTATTAGTGCTACACTAACACTAATAACAGGACTAATGCATTGTCGAAGGCTTTCATGGCCGGAATCACTGGGCTGTTGTAGGTTTTTATATGGCCATGTTCTAGAGGCATTCTCTCCTGACGTTTCACCTGCATCTATGGCAAGCATCCTCAGAGGTAGTAAGGTCTGTTGAAAATTAGGAAAGTTGGGTTTATATATCTGTGGAATGACCAGGGTGGGACAAAGAACTCTTGTCTGTTGGAGCTAGGTGTGAATGTTTCAACTGCCCACCTTGATTAGCATTTGATGGCCTGGCAGTTTTTTGGTGTGACTTGTTGAATCTGCGAAACCCCCTCCTCCAAGATGATCTGAACCACCTAAACTGGGCTCTACAGGCCAATGGATACTCCACCTCAGACATCAGAAAAGCTGCAAAACTGAGAACAAGCCATGAGAGTAAAGACAAAGATCCATCCAGAGGTAAAGTGTTCTTGCCATACATCAAGGGAACTATTGACCGCTGATGAGGAAACAAAACATACAAACTATCTACAGACCCACCAAGAAAATCCAACAAATGCTACGTTCAGCAAAGGACAAGAGGGATCCTCTCACTTCTGCAGGAGTCTACTGTATACCATACAGCTGTGGACAAGTCTACATAGGGACCACCAAACGCAGCAATGCCCAAACACGAATCAAGGAACATGAAAGGCACTGCAGACTACTTCAACCAGACAAGTCAGCCATAGCAGAGCACCTGATGAACCAACCTGGACACAGCATATTATTTGAGAACACAGAAATGCTGGACTACTCTCACAACCACCATGTCAGACTACACAGAGAAGCCATTGAAATCCACAAGCATATGGACAATTTCAACAGAAAGGAGGAAAGCATGAAAACGAACAAAATCTGGCTACCAGTATTAAAAAACTCTAAAATTACAACAGCAAAACAACTGAGAGGAAACAATCAGGGACAGCTAATTACCTCTCAACAAAAGATTGCCCCAGGCACTGCCAGGCCATCAAATGCTAATCAAGATGGCTAGTTGAAACATTCACACCTAGCTCCAGCAGACAAGAGTTATTTGTTCCACCCTGGTCATTCCACAGATATATAAACCCAATTTTCCTAGTTCCAACAGACCTCACTACCTCTGAGGATGCTTGCTATAGATGCAGGCGAAACGTCAGGAGAGAATGCCTCTAGAACATGGCCATATAGCCCGAAAAAACTTACAACAACCCAATAACAGGACTTCTCTCCTGCTGCTCACCTTAGCACAAAAACCTTCTTCCAGAGTCCAGGGAATCTTTCTAGACTTCCTGGGTCAGTTTTTAGGGCATGCGGTAGTATTCTAGTATTCTTTTAAGCAGCCAAGAGATGTAGTTATTGTAAATATATTTATGACCGATTTAATAATGGCAGTGGGTGTTTAAATATCATATAGAATGTTTCTTGGCTCCTTTGAGGTTTTGATAAAAAAACTCAAAGGAATATTCTAGCATGATGATTAAACATTATGTAAATCTCCTCTATTGTCTTCTTCAAAGTCCAAGTCCTACATTAAATGATTCTCCTAATATAAATTGAAACCAAAAATAAGTGAAGCTAAACCTAATATAAAGCTGCCAATATGTACAATTTCTCATTTACAATTAACTTAATTTTGAAGTATGCTGATAAATTAACCATGCCTCTAGCACATAACAAATAAGCAGAGCGCCAAGCAAACCAGGTTCTGCTTAAAGATTTGCTATGCATGTGCATCATGAAAAGCATTTAGAGATTTCCAAGGAAAACCTATCCATCTCTACTGAAAGAACAAGGACTGATAAATAAAAATAGAAAAAAAGGGGAAACCATGAAGAATTTGACTTTCTAGGAATGTCAACACATTGTTCTTACTGCAAAATCCATTTTGTTAATTTGTGAAGGTTAGGGGTGGTAGAGTCCCATGAAAGGGGGGAAAAAGTGAATATCTACAGACAACCCCTCTTTTAACTCTTGATATATAATGCCAGACACCTGCTTTTGCTTTTGCAAGGTATCACCACAAATACTTTTAGAGTTAGAGCTTGTAATGGCTGGTGGGCTTCTCCACCTCTCCTGACCTTTTGTCTTTGGAACAAAGAGAAGAAAAAGGTGTTTTTCTTGCTCTTTCAAAAGAAGCAGCTGATGGCTGGTGAGTTTCCCCACCTCAAGGCTGCTGCCCTTTTTAGCTTTGGAATAAGTTAAGATTAGGTATTTACAATGACCCACAGATTAGCTGACCCAGGTTTTTTTGAGGTTGATTTTTGACTAAAATATCTAGATTTATACATGAGTATATACACTACCTTCAGTGATGTTTTTTTTATTCCTAGATGCCCTGAGGTTCATTTCTACAGGAATGTCTAGATGCTGGGAAATAACGCAAATTGTGCTGCGAAATACTACAAGATGCCTAATGGTATTTTTTCTATTATAAGACTGTAGCAGGGCTTACCTTGAAATTGCTCGAATGAAATCTAAAGACACATTGCATTTGTATCTCGGTCCATTAAGCTGGTCATCATGGCCTACCAAGGTTAACAGCTGGAGCGTCACAAGGGAAGTGATCTAAAAAAGGGAGAGAAAATTATATTGGTTGCCCTTTCATCAGAGTAGCTGTCACTACATGGTAGTACAATCACTTTGCTCACTGCCTAGCTGTGAAGTTGCTCATATACCAGGTCTTGAGGATGCAAATCTAAACATGATCAGGGAACATATAACGTAAACCAATTAAAAACAAGATATAAAATCCATAAATATTGATGAAATGGAAAGGAGTAAAAATGAAAAAGACTGGTCACTCTAAAACATGAATGGTCATCAAATGCCCTGGATTCCACAGATGGGACTTTGTGGTCAGTCGAGATTCTGCTAAGGGTATAAATGAGGCCTAAATATTTATTTATTTATTTGCGACATTTATATGCCGCCCTTCTCACCCTGAAGGGGACTCACAGCGGCTTACAAATAAAAAGTAAATACAACATATATTATCATAGCAAAATATTAATATTATATATTACATTGTACTATAACATTATACTGTAATATTATTAGTAATATTGTATTACAATATTACTAATACAATTGTCTGACACGATAAATAAAATTAGTAATATTACATTTAATATAAAATATATAATTATAATATATTATTATTAATAGTAGTATATTGCATTACATTATAATATTATCAATATTTTATGTATATGTATATGTTGTTGTTCATTCGTTCAGTCATTTCCGACTCTTCATGACTTCATGGACCAGCCCACGTCAGAGCTCTCTGTCAGTCGTCACCACCCCCAACTCCTTCAAGTTCAATCCAGTCACTTCAAGGATGCCATCCATCCATCTTGCCCCTATTATATTATATTATATTATATTATATTATATTATATTATATTATATTATATTATATTATATTATATTATATTATAAGCACAGTGCAGGAGACAAGATGGAACTGCCTTCCTGCCCCTTTCTTAATTCTGATCTCAATACACAAAACCATCTCTCTGGCAGTATGCTTATATCTTATATGCTTATAAACAAAAGACAAAACTATATCAAGGTACAAGAAGCTTCAATTGTACCATGGTAACCTCATCTCTAGCTGCCTTTTCCAGCATCCTTTTGTAATAATGCTTGAAATGCCAATTTGTCTTAAAATAAAGGCAATTTAGTCTGCTGTTATGAGATTTGGCATGGAAAAAATATCTATGCAATTTTCCTCCATTTTAAAAAAAATATGTTCAAGAATTGCTGATAGTTACATTTAAAAATGTTTTCAATAGCAGGTGTCACATGTATTTACTTTTAAAAATGTTTACTTGCTTTGAAGTAAAGATAATGAAACATATTAAGAGAGAAACTCAAACACATGATAGTTTTTAAAGTTAGAGGTGAATTTTGTATTCTATTATACTATGTAACATGATTTTATCCCTGGGTTATAAATGTCATTTATTAATTGTTTGTCATAAAAGCGTGAAAAAAGTTTGTTAACACTGCAAAAACATTGTTTTGTGGGACACCCTGCAACACATTTTGTTATAGTTTTTCAAGGAATATCTCCTAGAGTCTCAAACAATCTATGTAAATAAAAATGTAATGTTTGTTTGTGGGATTAATATAACTCAAAAACTACTGGACGAATTGACAACAAATTCAGACACAATACAACTAACATGTCAACAAGTGACCATCACTCATAGAAACACTGAAAAACACAGCAGAAGAGACTTAAAAAGCAAAAAAAATATTACAATGCATGCGCACAACCACATCTATCTATCTATCTATCTATCTACACGCATATACACACACAAAACACATATACCGTCTATTCCGGGGTATAAAACTACTGGGGCTATAAGACGACCCCCCAATTTTAGAAGGCAAATAGAGACTTGGGGATATACTCGCCGTTTAAGACGAGTCCCCAAATCAGGTCTTCTATGTTGTCTCGTGGGAAAAGACACGATTCTCGCAAGGCCTCGCTAGGAGGGAGAGCGGCCTAAGCAGCTCGCCTTCCTAGCGAGGCCTTGTGAGAATCGCGTCTTCTCCTGCGAGACCACGAGGCCTGGCTAGGAAGGAGCACTGCTTAGGCCACATGGGAAATAGCCCAGGGGCCCGGCCGCCAAGAAAGGAGAGCGGCCTAAGGAGCGAGGCCGCCATGAGCGGAGGGGGAGGGGAGCCCAAGGCCAAGGCACCCAAGTACAGTAATTTTTTTGTTATTGAGGTGCGTGTGAATTTATATGTTTAACTAGCCGTCCCCTGCTACACATTGTTGTGGCCCAATCTATGTATATTTTATAAGGTTTTAGATACCTAAAAAGTCGTCTAGTATCCCGGAATATACGGTACATAAACTGGGCCACAGCAACGTGTGGCAGGGATGGCTAGTTCAACATAATTTGTGGTAGCTGCAAAAATGAGGTTTCTGGAGTATAACAACTACTTTCAAAGTAAGTACTGTACAATTAAACATGAAGTAACACTTTCAAACCAGAAACAGATCCCCCCCCCACATTTTGTTCCATAGTGTTATTCAGTAACGTTTACATTTTTTTTTTACAAAGAGTATCAATATGTTCTTCCTTAATGTCTTTGTGTGCAAGCAAGACATGATCTAAATTTGGAAAGGACAAGGACAAGCGTAAGTCTTCCTTCTACTGTTTTGGCTGAGAATCTCTTGTGCAATGCTAAAATTGTGAGGCTTGAACATTCATGCTTTAGTATCATTCAACAAATGGGAACAGAAGTTTAAGAGATAATCTATATAAATAAAAATGTAATGTTCGTTTGTGGGATTAATATAACTCAAAAAACCACTTGACAAATTGACACCAAATTTCGACACAATACACTTATCAGGCCAACGAGTGACCATCACTCATAAACACACTGAAAAACACAGCAGAAGAGACGTTAAAAGACAAAAAACAAAAAACATTACAACACATGCACAAAACTACATATACACAAATATATATACACACATGTACACACACACAAAACACATATACACAGACTGGGCCACAGCAATATGTAGCAGGGGACGGCTAGTTAAACATATAAATTCACATGCACCTCAAAACTACAGAAACATACATATATGCCTTCAATTTGTAAACATGGCAATCCCAAGAATTTTAGATGGATTTGTTACTCAGAATTGGTATAATTAGGTGCTTCCTCTGCTTCCAAGATCAGCCAAAATCTGATGACTTTAGGATATTTTGGTTCCTCATGGAAGTGTACAGCAAATTAAAGCATCTGTGTTAAGTTCCATGTGGTGATAGCAATAAATAGCCTCCCATATTGTTCTTGTTTAGATTATGTTCACTTACAGTTCACCTCTATGCACCTTCACTGAGTAAACAATAGTGACATCCTTTAAGTACAGAAGCCTAGGAGGTTGTGTACTGCCTTATGACTCTGGTATTTGAGGCAGGTGGCAAATCCAGAAGGTTTTACTGATTGCCTCGTGGACCATATTATAGTTACTGGGCTACATCCAGCTTGGTAAGATTGTGCATGGTGCATTTAGCCTGGCAGAGCACAAATACTCTGTGTGTGTGTCTACTCTTAAATATTAATTCAGAATGTAACCTCCACTTTATTATTTATTTATATAGCTCTATTAGTGCACACAGAAAATTGTAAAAAATGTTTTTAAAGAGGGAAATGTCCTTACTATGTACAGGTGCAATTTCCGTTTTGCTTCATAGGCACACATATCATGCTTTAGTCAATAAAAGAGTAAACAAGTTCCAAGCAGAGGGTTCAGCAAAAGAGTAAATGGGCCTCCCTTATAATTCTCGTTCCATTACCTGATTCTATAGCACTAGAAGCAATGCCTGGTCACAAGACAATAAAATGTCGGAAGAAAAGTCTGGTTCCTCATTTTGAAAAACAAGATATAAAATAATTCCAAATAGGTACCAGCCTCATATATAGAAGCTATATCTCTGTTAATGGAAGTGTTTCTCATAAAAATAATAAGGGTGCTAAAAGCAGTGGAGAGTATTTTTAATTTTTTTTTTTTTAGAAATATTGATAATGTTATTCTTTATAAAGTACATAATATTTTCATGAGGTACTGGAAGTGCTACCTCTCAGTTGTCCTTGATTCGCTGGCCTGTAGACAAAGCCCAATTCTATTACATTTTGAGACTGGCCAATCTAGCCTTTGAATTAAAGATATAATCTTCTACAGATATTGCGCAAAGTGTGTTTTAGCCAAGTCCCATGCAAAAGACACACAAACAAGAGGAAAAAAGGAACAGAAAAACTTTACTCTTATCAGAAGAGGCATAAACTTGCATACAAAATCAAACAGTGCAACAAACTTACATAGTCCTTGAAAGTAACACAGAATAAGACTTCTTTATCTTCATTCAAATGAGAGATCAAAACATAAACCTCGAGTAAATAGCTATTCCACCATAGCAAAGAGCATCGCTGTTAGAGCATAGCAGCATTACAGCACATTGTATTCTGTATTCTAAAATCCATACAGTTGTACACCGGATGTGTCCCAAATATGCTGGCTGACCTACATTACCAGCTGTACATAATAATTACCATTATAAGTTTTTTCTTTAACACACATTTGATCCTGCTATGACTTACTGTAACACTTAAGACTATCAAGAACACTACACAAGAAGCACAAGACTATTGCAACAAATTACCGTATATTCCGGCATATAAGACGACCCCCAACTTTTCTAGTTAAAATATAGAGTTTGGGATATACTCACCGTATAAGACTACCCCTCTTCCAATGCACACCAAATAAAATTTTTAAAAGCATCAGATTTGATTTCAATATGGTAATTTTCCTATTACTGTACCTCCTTCTCTGCCTCTCAGATCTTGCACATGCGCACCTGCACCACTTCACTTCAGTCTTCAGGAGTGAGATCTGAGAGGCAGAGGAGAAGGTATGGTAATAGGATACAAGGGCAGAGGTGTGTTTGTCTGGGCCCAGAGCCACTCTATCTCTTTTTTCCATACCCTGGGCACCCCAGAAGACTGCAGCTTGCTCCACCCTT